GGGGAAAACCCACACTGTGTTTTGCAGGCAAGGAGGTAATCGATTTTATTCTCTTCTGGAAGTAATATAAGGTTGCAAGGAAATTTAACAGCTCTTCTGCTCCATCATCTTTGTAACAACTCCTCTCTTAACAAGACTGTTAACAACTCCCCTCTTTTAACAAGACTGTTAACAAGTCTTTCAACAAGACTGGAGAAAGCCAAGTTCCTGAGGCTCTAGGTGCAGGCCACAGAGGAGACACTTACTCTGTCACAATAGTACTTCTTTTCTCCTTCCCTCATACTTAATTGTAAAATGCTCAGAAAGTATATCCCCAGGAAGCATTTCAATTAAATTTTTATAAGTAGACCATTTAACCTAATCATGAATTGGAAAATTTTATAGTTTTATAAGTAAATATAAGAAAATTATTTTCAAGAACGAATGAATAATCATTTCCTAAATATTGTAATCTGTTTTCTCCTTTTGTTTGACCCTAGTGCTGGTAAAGTATCCAAAAAAATAAAAAGACGATGAATTTGTGTTTCTTGCCAATGTTCTAAATAATGAAATAAGGAAAATAAGATAATTGAATTTTTTGCATCAATATTTTTTTCTGAATTTTAATAACTAAAATCATTGTGGTCTTTTCTTCTAATACATTTTTTATTTTTGACATATCTGTTTTGTTCTGCTTTTTTCTCACCCCATCCCCAATTTTAGAAACATTTTATAGATTTTAAATTCAACTTTTAATACCAGCTACTTTGAGAAGTTAAAACTTCATGTCACAACATTTAAGTAAAATAGAAATAAAAGTACTTTCTGAAAATATGCTATTTGAGGTACACTCCAAGAAAAATTTTCATTTAAAATTGCAAACATCATTGAACCTGTCTCTTTTATGTTTTGAATTGACCATTATCAAACTTTGTGCCAGCTGAAGTCATGTTATGCAAGTTGTTAATCTACAGTGGTATTAGAAATGTGTTTTCTCCTGAAATTCTGGAACATTAGATATACCAACAAAGTTGTTTTTCAGTCTTCTAAAAACTCCTCATAAGACTAGAAAGCAACTTGTTTTGAAAAATCAAAATCTCACTGACAATATCTACAGCAAAACCAGGTGACAGGGTATCTCCATGAAGCCTAACATATGAGTCAGTGAGGACCAGCTGATGACAACAGGAAGAGCCATGTGGAATTTTCATCTCTACACAAGGAAGCAAGGGAAGCAAGAAGACAAATGAGAGACCCCGAGTATGCAAACACTCAAGTCTCCCAAATTTTCAAGTTATTTAAAAGAAGGATAGGTCAATACAAAAAGAGAAGCTGAAATTGGGAGAGATTTTTGCCACCCGAATTTCTGAAAACTACAAGGGGTGCACCTGCGGTAAGGTCTGAAAAGTGAATGCTTTGTCAAGGCCTGTAAACTCTGGAAATGAAAATCTAAATCCCCTTGGGGAAAAAGGATCTACATGTAGGTAAAACTTCTGGGAAGAGAATCCAAATTGATCAGGGTAGAGATGGTAAAGGTAAGTGAATGAAGTTCCAGGGGAGGGGAAGAGATCTCAGAAGGTGTAAGGGCATATTTTTGAATGCTTCAGGAATGTAACCAGAAAGTTAAGAGCCATGAAACTGGAAAAGATATCCTGAGCTATTACTCTGTCAAAAGGTTAAGTAAACCCATTTGGCTTAAAAATGGACAGCAACAGAAAAGTATGTCAGTTAATTCCAATAGAGAATGATTAGGGGACATGGATGGAGCTGGAGGTCATTAGAGGAGAGACAATAAGGAGCAGAATAAAGTTCCTTTAAGCAGTTAAAGCATGTCAGGAAGAAACACCAACAAAAAACATGTAAATAGGACAATGTTACAAAATAAGCTAAAACTAGGAAAACTGTAGAAAAGCAATATAAATCAAAGGTAGAAAAATCCTTACATATGTATAATTGCACACCCCAAAGAAGAAAACCATGGAAGAAAATGAATAGAGAACATTCTACTTCAAGAAAATGTTCCTGAAATTTAAAAAGAATGACAAAAACACTCTAAATTGAAAGATTATGCCGCAAATCTGAATAACTCAACTGAAAACAACCACGTTTCTCGTAAAATATGTCTTAAAAGTCTTTAAATTAAAATAAAAATTCTTTGCCCACATTCATGTAAAAAGAGCAAGTCAATTATTTAGAGAATATCAGACTGCTGTCAGATTTTCTGAAAATCACATCTTGTATCATCAGAAAATTGTCACCTACTTAAGATAATGAGGCTTCCTTTCCTCACTCCTATTTCTTTGAAATAATATTCATTTACTTGTTGCTAATTATACAGCAATCAAGAAGTTTATCTTTTTTCAAGCTGTTGTATTTGTTCTCAATTTTGGATGGCTGTATATTGTATCTGTATTGTAAGTTCATACTGGCTGGAATAATAGTATATTAGTTCATTCTCACATGCTGTAAAGAACTACCTGAGACTGGGTGATTTATAAAGAAAATATATTTAATTGACTCTCAGTTCTGCATGACTGGAAAGGTCTCAGAAAACTTACCATCATGGCAGAAGGTGAAAGGGAAGCAAGCCACATCTTCCCATGACAGAGCAGGAGAAAGCACAAAAAGGGAAGTTCCACATGCTTTTAAACCATGAGATCTCATGAGAACTCACTCACGGTCGTGAAAATGGCAAGGGAGAAATTCATCCCCATGATCCAATCACTTCCCACCAGGCCCCTCCTCCAATTTGACATGAGATTTGGGTGGGGACACAAATCCAAAAAACCCAAGTCATATCTGCTAGTTAATGTCAATATTGCTAAGAGTCCAGAACAAACCAAAAAAGAAGAAACTAATGTTCAAGACATTAGAACAAAAATACAAACACTCCTAAATGCAAAAGAATATTAAAATTAAAGAGGAAAATAAAATGGACTACATAGTAAAACATATATAAAACATTTTATACCTATTAATATGATGTTATTGTTTGTCTAAAAAATGGGGGAATATGAACATATGTACATATATATCCCTCTTTATTTTTTAATTGAAGGATAAAACGTAAAATTAGAAAAATACTACTATCTGCCACCAAGAAGAAATTGTACTTCTAGGAGACAATGACTTATTCCAGGTCTAAGGTGACAAATGTACAAAATAAGCCTAAAGTATGTTATTATACTGGTTAGGAAAAGAGCCACCAAAGACTTCAAAAACCAACATGCATAGCCTACTACTGACCCAAGAATGGCTAGAGCAGATGGAAACATATCAAATATGATTAAATTCATACTTTCAAAATGATACCAAAAAATGAACAAACACACTAATTGGTCATTGAAAATGTTGGTGAATAAACTCATTATTTTGAAAAGTGGTAAGTTACAAAACTAATAATTTATCCCTTCTTTCCTAAAAGAATTGTATTATTAGAAAATTTTTAGCTAACAAAGAAGAAGCAATGAGAGATTTTACCAACTTGAAGCTGCTAATAGAACTTGATGGACCTAGGCATTGATAATTACCATTAACAACATGAAATGGAGCATAATTGAACATATGTCTTCTGTGAAAATATACAATATTGCCTATAAGGTGTATTTGCTAAAAATTCAACTGTCATCTAATCAAGATCCTAACACTATCCATGAATAAAAAATAGAGAGGGCAGAGAAATAGCTCCAAAGACATCAAGGCTATAGAATGAAATGTAATCCTCTAGAATCAAATGTGATTCTATCCCCTTGATGTCTTTGGAGCTATTTCTCTGCCCTCATTTTTTAATTAATAGATAGTGCTGGGGTCTTGATTAGATTCAGATTGAATAAATAAAATGTACATATACACCATGGAATACTATCCAGCCATATAAAAGGAATGAGATCACGTCCTTTACAGGACATGGATGGAACTGGAGGCCATTTTTCTTACCAAACTAATGCAGGAACAGAAAACCAAATACCGCATGTTCTCACTTATAAGTGGGAGCTAAATGATGAGCATACATGGATACATAGAGAGGAACAACACACACTGAAGCCAATAGGAGGGTGGAGAGTGGGAGGAAGGAGAGAGAAGATCAGGAAAAATAACTTACGGGTACTAGGCTTAATACCTGAGTAATGAAACAATCTGTACAACAAACCCCATGACACAAGTTTACCTATGGAACAAACTTGCTCATGTACCCCCAAACCTAAAAGGTTTTAAAAAAAAAGAATCACATTGTCAAGCAGAGAAACTCTCAAGAACAAGTAACCAGCTTTCATAAAAAAAAATTGCAAAAATGAACAGCGATGGAGAAGGGAAAGATGAAGGAAGAGAAAGAGGGTTGAGGGAGAAGAGGGAGAAAAAAAAAAAACTACAGGTTAAAAGAGAATAAAAGATATCCCAACCAGTGAAGTTTCATGTACCTTATTTGGATACTGATTCAAACAAAGAAAATTTAACATGTCTCAGACAATTGGAAATTTGAAACACTGCGTATTTGATAATATTAAGGAATTATTATTATAGGTATGATATTGGTATTATGACTATGATTTTTAGAAGATCCCTTATCTTTTAGAGATACCTCCTTAAATATTTAGAAGTGAAATTATATAATGTCTGATGCTTGCTTTCACATAATGAAGAAGGGGAAAAAGTAATTAAGCAGATAAAACTGTTCATTAATTTTTAGTTAAAGCTACCTGACAATTACATGGGGGTGTTTCATTGTATAATATTTACTGGCATATGTTTAGAATGATTTGCAATACAAAGTTTAAAGCAGACATAGTGTTTTATCCTCAAATGTGATGGATAGTTCAAGCCAAGGAAAAATAAAATCATTTCATTTTCCGAGGTAAATTCAAAAGACTTTTAGAGTGTCAGGTTGTAGACATCTTTCCCATGGTAGTAGGGTAGCTTGTTTCAATTGTTTACATGGACCATCTTTAACATTAATTTACTTCTTTTAATATCCACTCTTCTGAATGAATGTGCTTGAGAAGCATTTCCTTTTTTTTTTCCAGGATTGTGGAAAAGGGATATTACAGTGAGCGAGATGCTGCAGATGCTGTTAAACAAATCCTGGAGGCAGTCGCTGTAAGTATGGAGCAACAGCAATGGTATAACTCTTAGTCATTTCTTCCTTTACAGAATCACTATTTCAGAAATGCATATCTGTGTAAGCCATACATTTTACAGCACAAAGGTGTGAAATATTTGTTAGAAAATATGTGGAGTAAGCTGCGCATGGTGGCTCAACCCTGTAATCTCAGCACTTTGGGAGGCTGAGGCAGGCAGATTACTTGAAGTCAGGAATTCAAGACCAGCCTTGCCCATGTGGTGAAATGCTATCTCTAATGAAAATCTAAAAATTAGCTGGATGTGGTAGCACACACCTGTAATTCCAGCTACTTCAGAGGCTGAGGCACAAGAATTTCTTGAACTTAGGAGGCGGAGGCTGCAGTGAGCTAAGATCATGCCACTGCACTCCATCCTTGACAACAGAGAGAGACTGCCTCTCAAAAAAAATGTATGGAATAAACTGATATTTTCTATTGATTACTCAAAGCCTGGAAGATGCAGTCCTCTATATATTGCCACAAGTGTGTTGAATTAATTTCTACTCTATTATTATGAGACAAAATGAGATTTTGGTGCCTTTAGTTGTTCTTTAACTCTTTGGTTTCTCAATTCTTGAGTTTGTTTCTTCATTGCTTTTGTTGTGTTTTAATTTGGTAGAGATGTGGAGGAAGGTTGAATATGATATACACCTTGGAGCAGAGAGATTATTAACTTTCTTTCAAGACAAGAAATGAGTGAATTAGAAATAAAAAATGTAGCAGCTTTTTTCAAGAAATAAATATAAGTTAACATTTTAAATTGGAATAGAAGTTTGGTAAGTTTTTGTTTGTTGTTTGTTTGTTTTTGAGACGGAGTTTCGCTCTTGTTACCCAGGGTGGAGTGCAATGGCGCGATTTCGGCTCACTGCAACCTCCGCCTCCTGGGTTCAGGCAATTCTCCTGCCTCAGCCTCCTGAGTAGCTGGGATTACAGGCACGCACCACCGTGCCCAGCTAACTTTTTGTATTTTTAGTAGAGACGGGGTTTCACCATGTTGACCAGGATGGTCTTGATCTCTTGGCATCGTGATCCACCTGCCTCGGCCTCGCAAAGTGCTGGGATTACAGGCATGAGCCACCACACCCAGCCCGAAGTTTTGTAAGTTAATGGTGGAATTAAGTGCATACACGTTTACAAAAATATATACGGTTGAGAAGCTCTTTCAGATTGTACTAAGCAGGTAATATTTCCTTGTATAAAACAGACTCAATTGGCTAAAAGCTTGCCATATATTTAATGGTGTCTAATATGTGCTGGAACACTTTGGTGATTCATTTATTGAATATAAAACCAGAACAGATTATTCTTTGAAAAATCAAGACAGGACCCAAGGAGGGGTGATATTTATCAGGATCCGTTAAAGAGACAAATCTATAAAATTTATGCAGAATTGCGGTATATCCCATTATTTGGAGCTTAGTTATTTAACTAAAATCATTATTTAATACCTCGAGAAATCAGCCACAGTGGCAGAAGCACAGGTCCTATGAGTTTTACCCACAGCAAAAGCAGGAATCAGGGAAGGAAACAGGAGAGGAGGGAGAGAGGAGGAAAGAAAGGAGGGAAGGAGGGAGGACTCTGATATCTAACTAGCTTATGTACCAGTGATGAAAAGGTTTTTTTTTTTCATCATTGAAAACCTTTGCATAAGGCTTCTAGAAATAGTCAGTCAAACCAAATCTGTTACTAAGCTATCAACACCAACTTTAATTGGCTTTATAGCCCAGTCCTTCCAAATTATTTCTTCCCATAAAAGTGTTTTGATCTTTTTGCTACAGTGAGGGATAAAAAGTTTGAAATGGGAGTGAATGAAACCTGGAGAGGATGCCAAAACAGCTCCTGATTATATAAATATTGAATATCAAATTCATCTTCTCACTGTATCCAAATAGCCACCCCATTTCATATTTTTATCACACACATCACATTTACCAATTTTGGTTGCCTAGGTTTGCAGACTAGGGAATGGGTTTCAACTCTTCCATTTCCTTCTCTTACATAGACGTTTCCAATTTCAGTTGAAGCTTTCTTCAAATGTGCATAAATTTAATCCTGTTCTCCATCATTCTATGAATATTGCTGGCATGCTTTAAAAAAAAAGGGAACTTATAATTGCTTATAATTCCTATTCTTTTTTTTTTTTTTTTAATGGAGTCTTGCTCTGTCACCCAGGCTGGAGCACAGTGGCTTGATCTCAGCTCACTGCACCTCCACCTCCCAGGTTGAAGCAATTCTCCTTGCCTGAGCCTCCCAAGTAGCTAGGACTACAGGTGTGCACTACCATGCCCAGCTAATTTTTGTATAAAGTAGAGATGGAGTTTCATCATGTCAGCCAGGCGGGTCTCAAACTCCAGACCTCTGGAAATCTGCCCGCCTCAAGCTCCCAAGGTGTTGGGATAACAGTTGCAATTCCTGCTCTTTAATATATAAGTCTAGAATCATCTCTTCCAATCACTATATTTATTTTGTTACTTCTCCATTTAATAATGGCAGTTTTTATAGTAGAATGATTTATAATCCTTTGGGTATATACACAGTAATGGAATTGCTGGGTCAAATGGTATTCTGGTTCTAGATCTTTGAGGAATTGCCACACTGTCTTCCACAATTGTTGAACCAATTTACACTTCCACCAACAGTGTAAAAGTGTTCCTATTTCTCCATATTCTCTCCAGCATCTGTTGTTTCCTGACTTTTTAATGATTGGCATTCTAACTGGCATGAGATGGTATCTCATTGTGGTTTTGATTTGCATTTCTCTAATGACCAGTGATGATGAGCTTTTTTTCATATGTTTGTTGGCCATATAAATGTTTTCTTTTGAGAAGTGTCTGTTCATATCCTTCACCCACTTTTTGATGTTTTTTTTTTCTGTAAATTTGTTTAAGTTCTTTGTAGATTCTGGATATTAGCCCTCTGTCAGATGGATAGATTGTAAAAATTTTTCTCCTATTCTGTACTATAAAGATACGTGCACATGTATCTTTTTTTTTTTTTTTTTTTGAGACGGAGTTTTGCTCTTGTTACCCAGGCTGGAGTGCAATGGCGTTATCTTGGCTCACCGTGACCTCCGCCTCCTGGGTTCAGGCAATTCTCCTGCCTCAGCCTCCTGAGCAGCTGGGATTACAGGCATGCGCCACCATGCCCAGCTAATTTTTTGTATTTTTAGTAGAGACGGGGTTTCACCATGTTGACCAGGATGGTCTTGATTTCTTGACCTCGTGATCCACCTGCCTCGGCGTCCCAAAGTGCTGGGATTATAACATGTATCTTTATTGCAGCACTGTTAACAATAGCAGACTTGGGGCCAACCTAAATGCCCTTTATCCAGTGATAGACTGGATAAAGAAAATGTGACACATATATACTATGGGATGCAGCTATGAAAAAGGATGAGTTCACGAAGCTAGAAACCATCATTCTCAGCAAACTAACACAGGAACAGAAAACTAAACACCACATGTTCTCACTTGTAAGTGAGAGGTGAACAATGAGAACACACGGTCACAGGGAGGGGAACATCACACACGGGGGCCTGTCAGGGTGTGGGAGGATAGGGGAGGCATAGCATTAGGAGAAATACCTAATGTAGATGACAGGTTGATGGGTGCAGCAAACCACCATGGCACGTGTATACCTATGTAACAAACCTGCACATTCTGCATGTGTATTCCAGAACTTAAAGTATAATATATAAATTAATAAAATAATAATAATAGTGGCAGGTTTATACTTTTCCTAAATATCTATTTTAAAATCTCATTTCTTGTTATTATACATAATAAATTATTCAAGTCAACTTGCAGGCCATAGCCCACTATCACTTAACCTGAATCAGTCAGGCAGCTGGTATAGCAGTTAAGAATACTTTGGCAATGAGACAGAGCTAGGTTCGGTTTTTAGCTGTGTGAACTTGGACATGTCACTAAATATCTTTGAGCCTCAGTTTTCGGTTGTAAAATAGGCATAGCAATTAACCTGATGGGACTGTGGAAAAAAGTAAATGAGTTAACGTATGGAAATCATAGCAATGTTCATGAAAGAGCTAAAAGAGGATAAGCCACTTCATACTAAGTACATTCATTTAAAGATTTTTTTAGATGTTGTAGATGTATGCAGATATACCTGCACCCCAGCTAAGTACTAAAAGAAAAATGGTGTAATATCCTCATTGATCTACGTGCTGATTGCACAGAAAAGTTCAGTACACTTACATGTACTTTTCTATTCATATGTTATACCAATAGAAAGTTTGAAAAGGAATTGTGCTGAAGTTTTAGTATGCGTATATAGTTAACAACAGGTAATAAATCCTCAAGTCAGCATGGTATGTGTGTGTTTGCAGTTTACCCAACTGGATTCATGTACCTTTACATGTTTCTAGTTCTATCACATACTTTTGTCTAACAGACAGATTACTTTTTTCCTTCCTGGAACAGTAGCATGTTATTCTCTGATGTCACATGAGACAGTTGGTAGAGAATGTGACAACGAGGGAGAGGGACATGTGCCCCTCAGTCTACCACTCTCCTCTTTTTATGCTATTCTACTGACAAAACATTTGAAAATAAAGTAATCTTCAAAATAATTGTTCTGAGGGATCTTCGTTTGCTTCTCTGTATGCAAGTAACAGAATGCATACAATCAGGAAGGGTGTACTATAATGCAGAGCTCTTTCCTTCCCCACTGCTGCCTTTTTCTGATCACCTGCTTCCCTCTGTTCCTTTCCAACCAATATTTTCTACTGCTTAGATTCACAAAGTGACATATGGTCAACCTAACCATCTTGCCTTAGCATATTAAAGTAAAATCTCAAATCTGACTCAAAATGAACACAAATATCACTTCATCTTAATTCAGAAGTTTAGAACAGAAGCTACACGTGGCTCAACTTGAGTCAGGCTTCCTTCCCTAGTCCATTCAGCTGTGTATGGGGTGTGAATTGTGCAGTATAAATGTGGCTGTCAGGACTGGGGA